ATAAAATATATAAATAGACTCATGTAAAAAAAATAAAAATCATATATATTAAAAATAAAATAAAAATCATTATATATATTATTTATATATTATCTAATAGACTAATCATTTTAACATCCCGAAAATATTTAGTCGTATGGTTCAATTTTGAAAAAGTTATTCCGTTTTTTAAATGATATGCACGCGCACGCGCGCGCGCGCGATGTTAATATTTGTGAGATATTTATTAGATCATTGACTTTAGAAATCAAAACAAATATAAGAATTGATATAAAATAAATGTTGATTCAAGCTTATTTATTAAATTATATATAATTAAAGTTTGTTAAATTAAGTCGGAGATGGAGATAAAGTCAAACGAAAAAAGCTACTTTATTTCCATGTTTATTTAAAATACAAAATTATAAAGTTCAATTGCTTATAATTCTAACAAATAAATCTTAATCTTATTGTAAGTCTTATTTTTGTATATCACTTTTTATATTTGTTTTCATTTTTATAAAATCTTTTAAAAAATCGATGGTGTCTTACGTATATATTAACATTCTGTATATAGTGAGGTCAAAAAATATGTATAAATAAGATGATTTTTATGAAAAAAACATATCTTATCGATTTCAATGATTGAAAAATGTTGTCAAAATATATTCATTATCTTTAACAATTTTTAATGGAAATATTCTAAAAAATTTATTTAATTTTGATGAATATAAAATTTTTTATTTATTTTTGAATATTTTGATAGCATATTTCAAAATATATTTAATATCATAAAATTATTATATCAAAAATTATGTTTAAATATTATTCAATATTGATTTACCTATTTTTTAGGAAGACAGGATCAAGAAGTAGGATTAATAATTATTAGTAAACTAAACTTAATTTCAACATATAAAAATTTAATTAGCAATTAATATCTCATTTTCGAATATATATACGAAAAATTATAAATTAATAATTGCATTATATTACAGTCTCATATACAAGTTAATGTTTCTCGTTACAAATGCAGACTATATATATATTCTAACTTATATTCTTTCACAAAATTATAGTATATTCTATGATTTTTATATTATATTTCTTAAGATTAATGTAATTTATTTTTACAAACGAATTTTATATATATATAAAATATCTCTTCTTTAATAATATAGAAAAAAATCATTTAATATTTAATATTTTTTTCAAATTTTATTCATTTATGACATAACAACATATCTGAAAAAGCAAATTAATGAAAATATATTAGAAATTTTTTTATTTGAAAAGATCTTTCATATATTTTTGTTTTTTAAATGTGAATCTAATTATAAAAATTATCTATCATTTTTAATTTATAAGAGTTTATAAGAGATAAATAAAAATTTATAAGAGTTTATAAGAGATAAATAGATACAAAATATTTTTATTATATTTATTATATTTAAAATAGTAAATATAGAAAATAATTTTTTTTTAATATTTTTGCCAACATTAACATATATATATTATTTTTTTCTTGCGAAGTTAAATTTAATTTATTATCAGAATTTTTTTTTTGTTGAAATATCGTTTTGATATCATTTCATTTTTAACATTTATATAAATGTTATAAAAAGCTTTATTATTAAAAAATATTATTGTCTTAATGTTTGAGGAAAAATCACATTTCATTTTATTAATCTTTTCTTTGAAAAAGATAATCTTCATACATTTTCTTATTCGAAAAATCGTTAGTAATTTAAAAATAAAAGAACAACATAGAAATTAATCCAAGTCATAAGAAGAATGTTTTTATGTTATTTGACTATTTACGTTGTTTTTATTAGTAATGAATAGCAAATCATAAGGAATATATATCTTATGTCATTTGACTTGCATTATTTTTCATTTATGTCATTTTTATTAGTAATGAATATTAGCAGTCGATCAACATTTTTTAAATATTAGATTCGCACCTATCAAATTATATTATATAAAATTATAATTACATATTTTTATATTTATATATTTATATATTTATATATTTATATATTTTTATATTTATATATTCAACTATACATATATCTATATATACAATAGTATGATGATATAATAGTCGCCATGATTTTTTATGAATTTTTGAGTCTTACAAAAAAATATATTAAACAAAAATTAATCTATTTTTAATGTTAAATCAAATATTTTTTCAATAAAAAAAATAACTATGAATTTTTATATAACACTTTATATTTCTGATTTCATATTAACTAATGTTCAGATGAATCTCTTATATTATATTCTTGAAATAAATTTTAATTTAAAAATGTGAAATGTCTTAAATGAAATTAGTAATAACATTAATGGATAGTTAGATATGGTCCTATTCAATCATTTTTCTTGGCTATGTCAGTTTCTCCGATTTGTCTCAGATTTCTTTCGTGAATTCATTTACAATCAGTAGTTGAATCAATTCAAAACATTGAATATTTAAAACAATAATAAAATATTATATGCTAAAAAATTCATCATAATATTTACTATGTAGGGTATGAATAGTAATTTATTCCATCGACTAGAATTATGTTTACAAGAAAAAAGATTAAAATTTGAATAATTATTGTTATA